ATTGAAAGCATTTGAATGCTTGATTGAAAGAATTTGGATGCTTTATTGAAAGCATTTGAATGTTATATTGAAAGAATTTGGATGCTTTATTGAAAGCATTTGAATGTTATATTGAAAGAATTTAGATGCTTTATTGAATGCATTTGAATGTTTTATTCAAAGCAGTTGGATGTTTAATTGAAAGAATTTGAATGTTTTATTGAAAGCATTTGATTGTTTTATTGAAAGCATTTGGATGTTTTATTGAAAGCATTTGAATGTTTTATTGAAAGCATTTGGATGTTTTATTGAAAGCATTTGGATGTTTTATTGAAAGCATTTGGATGTTTTATTGAAAGCATTTGGATGTTTTTATTGAAAAGCAGTTGGATATTTTTGCATTTGATTGTTTTATTGAAAGCATTTGGATGTTTTTATTTGAAAGCATTTGAAAGATTTGATTGTTTTATTGGCTTGTTTGAAAGCATTTGGATGTTTTATTGAAAGCATTTGAATGTTTTTATTGAAAGCATTTGAATGTTTTATTGAAAGCATTTGGATGTTTTATTGAAAGCATTTTGGATGTTTTATTGAAAGCATTTGAATGTTTTTATTTGAAATTGAAAGCATTTGGATGTTTTTTATTGAATGCATTTGGATGTTTTATTGAAAGTTGGATATTTGAATGTTTTATTGAAAGCATTTGAATGTTTTTTGAAAGCATTTGAATGCTTTATTGAAAGCATTTGAATGTTATATTGAAAGAATTTAGATGCTTTATTGAAAGCATTTGAATGTTTTATTGAAAGCATTTGGATGTTTTATTGAAAGAATTTGGATGCTTTATTGAAAGCATTTGAATGTTATATTGAAAGAATTTGGATGCTTTATTGAAAGCATTTGAATGCTTTATTGAAAGAATTTGAATGTTTTATTGAAAGCATTTGGATGTTTTATTGAAAGCATTTGGATGTTTTATTGAAAGAATTTGAATGTTTTATTGAAAGCATTTGATTGTTTTATTGAAAGCATTTGATTGTTTTACTGAAAGCATTTGAATGCTTTATTGAAAGCATTTGAATGTTTTATTGAAAGCATTTGGATGTTTTATTGAAAGCATTTGAATGCTTTATTGAAAGAATTTGAATGTTTTATTGAAAGCATTTGATTGTTTTATTGAAAGCATTTGATTGTTTTATTGAAAGCATTTGGATGTTTTATTGAAAGCATTTGGATGTTTTATTGAAAGCATTTGGATGTTTTATTGAAAGCATTTGAATGTTTTATTGAAAGCATTTGAATGTTTTATTGAAAGCATTTGAATGTTTTATTGAAAGCATTTGGATGTTTTATTGAAAGCATTTGAATGTTTTTGAAAATTTGGATTTTAATGTTTTGTTTTGAAAGCATTTGGATGTTTATTGAAAGCATTTGAATGCTTTATTGAAAGCAGTTGAATGTTTTATTCAAAAAGCATTTGGATGTTTTATTGAAAGCATTTTGTTTATTCAAATGAATTTTATTGAAAATGCATTTGAATTGTTTTATTGAGCATTTGAATGTTTTATTGAAAAGCATTTGAATGTTTTATTGAAAGCATTTGATTGTTTTATTGAAAGCATGTTTTTGAATGTTTTTATTGAAAGAATTTGAATGTTTTATTGAAAGCAGTTGGATGTTTTATTGAAAGCATTTGAATGCTTTATTGAAATTTGAATTTGGATATAGACAAATTTAAATTAAATTAACTGCCGGCATTTTTAACTTGGTAATGGTCATTTGGCGCTAAAAACAAACACGCAAACAATCTGAAGATGATGTAAAAATAACATCATCATTCCTTGACTTTTGTAACCGTTGGGTGGATCCGAATGCAGAAGCCACACTAACTCTTTTCTCCATAACGGTCTATTAACGGAAGCCATCAGCAATTCTGGTACTGTCTATCCCTGTCCATTGCTTGACATTGTCCAACCAGTGTTTGCTCTGGCGCTCTCTTCTATATCCATCTTCAACGGTGCATTCCATTGTCTTGAACTGGCTGTCGCACCTTGTAACGTGTCCAAACCACGCCATTTTACTCCGTTCGACAGTGACGAGAAGAAGTTCTTGGTGTCCCAGAAAACTTTCAATCTGAAGATGATGTGAACATGTAGCATTGAATCATTAAAAAAAATTCTATTTTTAATAAGGATTATCTCATTTCGTATTGAATTATTCACCTTGATTATAGCAGTTAGTGTAACAAGCATGCGCGGAAGCGTCCTCGAACTGCGTGTGTGTTGTCGCCGGGCACACCTTGGAGTACCATAATGGACTCGAGCGAGGACTACAAGAAGAAGACGCGCGAGTCGTTTGGCGTCTTTTCTTGGGCGACAAAAGCCGTTTCGGTCGTCCGTCCGTCGGCAGCAGTTGTGGGTGTCGTTTTTCTCGTTTGCTGTTGTAAAGTGTTCGTTCGGAAGAGAAGGCGTTCGTTTCTGTGTCGCAAGAATGCGTTCGTTTTTGTGTCGCAAGAAGGCGTTCATGTCTGTGTCGCAAGAAGGCGTTGGTTTTGTGTCGCAAGAAGGCATTCGTTTCAGATTCGCAGGTAGGCGTCCGTTTTGGTGTCGCAAGTAGGCGTTCGTTTTTGTGTCGCAAGTAGGCGTTCGTTTTGTGTCGCAAGTAGGCGGCGTCCGTTTTGTGGGCGTCCGTTTTGCGTTAAGTAAGCGTTCGTTTTTGTGTCGCAAGTAGGCGTCCGTTTTGGTGTCGCAAGTAAGCGTTCGTTTTTGTGTCGCAAGTAGGCGTCCGTTTTGGTGTCGCAAGTAAGCGTTCGTTTTTGTGTCGCAAGTAGGCGTCCGTTTTGGTGTCGCAAGTAAGCGTTCGTTTTGTGTCGTTCGTTTTTAGGCGTCTAAGCGTTCGTTTTTGTGTCGCAAGTAGGCGTCCGTTTTGGTGTCGCAAGAAGGCGTTTTTTTCTCCGTTTTCTCGCACAGTTATTAAATTTCGGCCGTTGAATCCTGTCTTCCTCCGGTGTTTGTCCACATTTGGTGACGTTCCTGTAATATCAAAACCAAACACTTTATTCAGTCTACGGCAGTGAAAAGTTCTCATCATACTGCCTATAGTAGGGGTAATGAATTATATTAGTTCATTCTGGCGATTTGATTTTCCCACTGAACCTGGATTTCATGAGCCTGAACCGTCATATATTCAAATGCCCTAAAAACGGTAGAAACGCCGTGACAATAAAAACAGATAAGGACGTTCGTCTAAGCAGATTAATGAATAATAATTTAGAATTTGTCGCCGCAGGAATAGGCGAAACCTTGTAACCATAACAACAAAGATGAGGATACTAGTTCGAACAGATCCATGTATAATAATAATTCCTCATCTCAGAAACTGCCGACATATTGTGACTGCAACAGCAAGATGAAGACACTCATCTGAATAGATCAAAATATAAAAATGCTTTTTCCTCATTCCTGAAATAACCAAACCGTTGCGACGAAAACAATGGATGATGTGTGACTTCATCTTGGTTCCGAGCGTTTTGTGTCACCAGCAATTATTCTGTGGACGAGTTTGCTTTTGACCAAAGGAGAATAAAATAATAGATAATTACATGAAAACATTTGAGAACAAGTGAGAACAAAACCGGACATTGAGGATTTCCGGTCATAAGCTTATATTAGACATCGCAGTTCGGACAGAGATAGTTGAGTTCTGGATCTCCCGTTAACCGGGGACAGATTGACCCTTCTGTTAGTTCTATCGACTGTTAGAGCTGCCAGCCTGGAAACTGAGATGGGTAGATAGTTGGTAGGGGAAATTTAGATTCCAATAGAAAAGCGGTTCCGTTAGTCTGAGATGTCAGAATTGGGCAGTCCGTGTAAACGAAGCCCTGGATAAACAATGAAAATCTATTTCAGACAGTTTCCATTTCGCCCCGTGTCGTTTATTTTTGCCTTTCGTTTCCTTGTGTGTTCGCAGCGTGCCCTTCCCGGTTTTGGGTGCACACCAACCAGAGCGAGAATAGAAAACAACCGGGGTGTTTCAATTTTCCGGTCGTTGGAAATCTGACAGGCGACTCCGTTTTATTTATACATTGGAGGCTAATAACTGTCATAAAAAATAGGGGGTTGAGCCTGCGTATGCTGTCTCCCCGCGGTTGAGTTAACTAGTGTCTCAGCTTGCGTTTTTTATTGTCTGCTCTGTTTCTTTCTGTTAAACCCACTTTAAATCGGCCTTGTACCACATATATTCCTCGTGTCAGGGATATTAAATACCGAGATACGTCGAGATACAGTGATTGTTTGCGACGTCTGTCGATCTCTCTGCTTTGGCAGAGAGGAACCCGGACGAAGCTTTGCCGAAGGGCAAGTTTTCGTCCGGGGAGGTAGACAGGCCCTGAACCCGTCTAGGCGGGTTCAAAGAGGATATTTTTTGGCTGAGCCTACGGGCTCGGAGTAACGCACTTTAAGCTCGGCCTTGTACCACATATATTCCTCTTGGGTTGAATGTTAAATATCGAGATACGTGGAGATACGTGGAGATACGTTGAGACAGGTTGAGAGATACGGAGACAGACACATGATGTTCTCAGAGAGTTATACAAAAGAGAGAGAGAGAGAGAGATGATTACGGCTTTACTTACAGAGACTTGTACATATACTTTCTACTAACCCACATTCCTGGACTACTAATCTTCACTTCATGTCTGTATTCTTACTTTTAATATATTTATTTTTCTATCTCAATTACTGGCGTTGTTTATTTATTTGTGCAAGATTCCATTCACGGAATCCACAACACTTTCCCTCTGAGCAACTCCTTGCATGCTACTGCCTCAATTGGAGTGAAATGATTTAAAAAAAAATGAAATAAATAAAGACTCTTAATGAATCAGAATCTTCAGTCACATGGATTGTACAATCTGCCGTAGGCGGAGATAGAATCATATTTATGCGCCAGGTATTTGAGAACACATCGTCAAAAGGTAGAAGAACAACTAAAGCAAGTACAACATTTTTTTTCCTCCACGTTTGCAGCCCTTGGTGTTCCCAAGTGGTCACCCAGCTTGGTACGGACCCGGCTCGACGTTGCTTAACTTCGGTGATCGTGCCATAATCGGTGTTTCAACCTGATATGGTCGTAAACTCTTTACTCCACTCGCACACCTAAGCTTAGTGCACTTGGTCTTTCAAAGCGATCACCCAGCTAGGCACTGACACGACTCGACTCGACGTTGCTTAACTTCGGTGATCGTTCGATAATTGATGTTCAACGTCATATGGTCGTAAACCCTTTATACCATTCGCACATCCAATCTTAGTGCACTTGGTGTTCCAAAGCGATCACCCAGCTAGGTACTGTCTTGGCTCGACGTTGCTTAACTTCGGTGATCGTTCCATAATCGATGTTTCCACGTGATATAGGACTGTAAACTCTTTACACCATCCTCACATATAAGTGCCCTTGGTGTTCCCAAACGGTCACCCATTTAGGTACAGCCTAGTTTCTACATTGCTTAACTTCGGTGATCCAACGAGAACTCGTGTTTCAACGTGATATGGTCGTAAGCCCTTTGCACCACCTGTACATCCAAGCTTAGTGCACGTGGTGCTTCCAAGTGGTCACCCAGCAAGCTATTGACCCGGCACGACGTTGCTTAACTTCGGTGATCGTACCAGTACAGTTGTTTCAACGTGATATGACCGTAAGCACTTTACACCCTATGCACATTCCAGCTTACAGCAGTTGGTGTTCCCAAGCGGTCACCCAGCTATGTACTGACCAGGATCGACGTTGCTTAAATTCGGTAATCGTACAGGAAGTGTTGTTTCAACGTGATATAGTCGTAAGATTTTTTTACCCCACTCGCACATCGAAGCTTACGGTACTTGGTATTCCGAAGCGGTCACTCATTTAGGTCCTGACACGGCACAAGCTTAATTTCGGCGATCATAGGAGAACCGGTGTTAACCCTGTCGAGGCGTTTAAGTAAATTCTGTTCAGAACCCAACGCCCTGTGTGGTCCCATGAATGGAAAAGAATATCTCTTGGGACTTAATTAGTACAGAAATTAGATCGCCTACTTTTTACGCAGACGCAGGAAAAATTATTTTATTACATAAAAGGGGGATATTTAAAAAAAAAAAAAAATAAATGCCGACGAGCCCGCGTTTGGTTTCTCACAGGCGACGAAAATAGCCAAGTGTCTTCAAAGGCAGCATTTTCAGTTGGATAAACATTAGGACTGGGATACGTAACTTTTTTTAAATTTTTTTTTAAATCCATTTAGAAAAATGACCTAGAATAGTGTAGGGTTGATTGCATTGTGATTATGATCATTTGTATTTATTTCCTTTGATTTCTAGTTCGTATGGTCCGGTTCCTTGTACCCCGGTGATAGTCCAAGGTAGAACCAATAAAGAAGAACTCGAACACGGATATGGAATATTCTTCTCCTGATGATGGCCATTTTGGCCGAAACTAGTCGAGGAATCTAAATGAAATAATAATAAAAAAAAAACAAAAAAAAAACGAAAGAATATTAATCTACAACCCAGTGTGTCTGAAGATTTTAATTTTTTAATATTTTTTATTGTTCAATATATATATATATATATACAGTGCAACCCGGATATAAGAGACCCGGATATAAGAGAAACCCGGATATAAGAGAGATTTTCTCTGGTCCCAAATTAGAGTCCGTGTTAATGTATACACATAGACCAAACACGGATATAAGAGAAACCCGGATATAAGAGACTTCTTCTCCGGTCACGACAACTCTCTTATATCCGGGTTACACTGTATATATATATATATATATATATATATATTCAGTCGAGCTAGTTCAGACATTGATGAATCTTCTCACCAACCATCACAGTCTTGCATAAAAGTCAGAAGGTCATTAGATTGACATTCTGTATCATAATTGGGCAATGTAGGTGGTTGCTGGGCAACCAACCCGTCTTACTTCATGGCTAAGTGTCCAGAGCAGTAGATCATTTACGAGTTCTTGTTTGGTTTCTGCGTTCGTGTAAGATTGTAGAAATATCAGGGATAGGTGCATAGAGCTGTGATTTAGTTGGATGTTGCCTCCAAGAGATGTTAAGTACAGTTTTCAGCATCCGAGTTGTAGGTTCCATCAAGCTTAGACACAAGGTGAGATTTTTTTTTTTCCTTTTAAGATGAATATGACCAGGATCAACTATGAAGAAATTTTTCCCTCCGAATCAATATTGCGATTGTTTACATTATTTTCTGGTGATATTTGTACCTGTAACATTGTTCTGGGTTTTATGTGAACAAGTCCCTGCTTTTTTTTTTGTTTTTTTAACACCATTCCAGCCGAAATATCTTTTCAGTATTCACACCTAAATGTTGGATCTGTCGGTTTTCCTTTCAACCTATCTGCCGGAGCATATATATATATATATATATATATATATATATATATATATATATATATATATATATATATATAATTATTTATTTAAAAATATGATTCCAAAACGCTATATAAGAGTTCTCATGTTTCAAAACAAGAGCCGAAAACTTCAAACTTTGGATTATTTACCTAACGAGTTCTTTCCTATTTTCTATATATTTTTCACACACACATATATATATATATATATATAAATGGACAAAGTCCGACAATTTATTTATTAAAGATATTTTTATGTTTAACGTTCTTTTTATAGATACAAGTATTTAAGTAAATGCTCTGTTTATAATAAACAGTATTAAATAACATTTACCGGCCTGAATGTCCGATAAATTTTCGAACCTGCATCCTATACGGAACCGTCATTTACACTGACGTGCCTAACCTCTCGGCCACAAAGGATCGTTCGGTTGGCAAGTTCGAATTTACTGCTTATAAACTTCAATCTCCCATGAATCCTGTCAAAGGACGAATATTTTCTATGAAAATTTCTCGGACATTCAGGCCGGTAAATGTTATTTAATACTGTTTATTATAAACAGAGCATTTACTTAAATACTTGTATCTATAAAAAAGAACGTTAAACATAAAAATGTCTTTAATATATATACATTATGAAATGGACAAAGTTCGACAATTATTTTAAGACATTTTTATGTTTACACATTCTTTTTATAGATACAAATATCTAAGTAAATGCTCTGTTTATAATAAACAGTATTAAACAACATTTACAGGCTTGAATGTCCGAGAAATTTTCATAGAAAATGTTCGTCCTCCGACAGGATTCGAACCTGTATCCTATACGGAACTGTCATATAGACTGACGTGCCTTTAACAGATTTGGCCACAGAGGAGCGTTCGGTTAGAAAGGTCGATTTTACTGTCTTTGTCCATTGCATAATGTGTGACGTCATTTGTTTACATTTGATACGCCATGAGCAGACATGAATGTACGTGAGAGATTCTTGGAAGATTGAAGTTTAAATACAGTAAATTCTACCTTGCTAACCGAACGCTCCTCGGTGGCCTAATCGGTAAAGGCACGTCAAGCTAAATGACGGTTCCGTATAGGATACAGTTTCGAAACCTGTCGGAGGAGGAATATTTTCTGTGAAAATTTCTCGGACATTTAGGACGGTAAATGTTGTTTAATAATACTGTTTATTATAAACAGAGCCTTTACTTAAATATTTGTATCTATAAAAAGAATGTATAGACATAAAAATGTCTTTATATATTTATTAAAGACATTTTATGTTTAACGTTCTTTTTATAGATACAAGTATTTAAGTAAATGCTCTGTTTATATATATATATATATATAGTCGAGCTAGCTCGGACATTCACGAGTCTGTCTCACCAATCATCACGGTCCTGCATCTGAACGTCATTGGGTTGACATTCTGTGTCATAACATAATTGGGCAATGTAGATGGTTGCTGGGCAGCCAACCTGTCATATTCCATGGCTAGGTGTCCAGAGCAGAAGATCACTCACGAGTTCTTGTTTGGTTTGCCATCAGTGTCCTGCAAAGTGCAGGGCTGAGTCCATAGAGCTGTGATTTAGTTGGATGTTGTTTCCGAGGGATGTTAAGTGTAGCCCTCAGCATCCGAGTGCAGGTTCCATCAAGCTGAAACTCTAGATGTATTTTGCTTTAACACCAGCCGAAGAGAAAATAATAACATAATCAAGATGTTGACTTCCCTTTTTGTTCTACATTATGCATGCCCCCAGGATGTAGGCAGGCCACAACTTCCTGTCCTTTGTAGCTCTTAATAAATATTATCATTCTGTCATTTCTCCTAAACTAAGTAACTTCGAGAGGAAACCCAGATTTATAGAAAGAGCGATAAGAATTTCACCCAACACCGAAAATTGCGATAAAGCTAAAGAATTAACCTAAAATCTCGCGTGTTGTCCTAAGATAACGTCGTCATATCGAGACTTTTATATGGACGTCCTGCATGGCGCCAGATATGTACAGAAATATCTAAACTGTCAGTTGTATAAAAGCGATTCGGTAGAAATAGTCAACTAGACTAGCTCGTTAACCATTACCCGATGCTGAATTGGCCAAGTTGGTACTTATTAATTTTAGCTGTATTTCGCAGAGACATGAGTATTGGGCACCCAGCGAGGATCGAACTCAGTATTCAGTTGTAATGATCAACTAGACTAGTTCGTTAACCATTACCCCAAGCTGAATTAGCAAAGTTGGTGTTTATTAATTTTACCTGTATTTCGCACAGACACATGAGTATTGGGCACCCAGCGAGGATTGAACTCAGTATTCGGTTGTAATGATCAACTAGACTAGTTCGTTAACCATTACCCCATGCTGAATTAGCAAAGTTGGTGTTTTTTAATTTTAGCTTTATTTTGCACATAGACATGAGTATTGGGCTCCCAGCGAGGATCGAACTATTCGGTTGTGATGTGCGAACGTCTTCAATATCAACATTACCTTAAAGACCTTTAACAAACAAATGAATACAAACACCACATCGAAGAGAAACGTTGTCTTCCACATTACTTGAAACAACAAGAAGGAAACCCCAACAACTAAAATGGATAGCAAAGTGTTTTAACAAAATTTCGGCTGGACACGATAAAATGCTGAATTTTCTTGAGACAGGTGATATTACCATTAGAGATCAAGATACAGATACTCCCCCCTTTGATCTCAGCCCTATGTATTAGATTTGATGATACCATTAGAGAAGAAAAACAGATACCCTTTGATCTCCCCTTATGTACAGTGATCGGAGAAAGTAACTGAGTAGCACAGGCAATTCCGAATGTTTCCTTATAAGGAATGAATACCATTAGAGATCAAAGAGAACAGATTCCCTGATCTCGGCACTATGTACAGAGATCGAAGAAAAACAACTCGAATATCACCTGTTTGGTAATGAAGGAATGATCAGGATAACATTAGAGATCAAGAGAACATCTCAGCCGTATGGACAGAGAGTGAAGAAAAAACGTAACTCAAAAAGGCTTCCGCAATGTAACTTTTAGTAACACCATTAGTGATCAGGGACTTGATCTCGTTCAATGAAAAAAGGCTGAATGGCTGTTTTTGTTTCCTTTGAAGAAACCAGGAAGTGTAGAAAAGCGGGAAAAGAACAGTTACTACACATTGATCTCTGTCTGAAGGCCGGGAAGTGAAGAAAAGCGTAATTCTAGTAGCACTTACCGCTCGTTCAATGAAGGTCGAATGTTTTTCCCTTTGAAGAAACGGCTAATATTATCATT